TCCCCAGACGTCTGTTGAGTGTTGTAAGAAGAAGGGGGGATGCCACACAGTGGTAAAAATGGACTTGTCCCAACTTTTTTGGGATTTGTTGACGCCATGAAATTTGGAAACAACAGATTTTCCCCTTAAAATGATACATTCTCTCAGTTTAAACTTTTGATCTGTGATCTGTGTTCTATTTTGAATAAAATATTAGATCTTGGCACCTCCACATCATTGCATTCAGTTTTTATTCACAATTTGTTTAGTGTCCCAACTTTTTTGGAATCCGGTTTGTATATACATACATACATATACATACATAAATGCATATACATACACACACATACAGCACTACTAGATCTATAATCAGAGCTTTATCACATTCATACACTGATGGGATACACATCGGAGGCAATGAGGGGTTCAGTGTCTTGCCCAGGGACACTTCAGCATGTGACTGCTGGTGGAATCAAACCCCAAACACATTCATTGGAGGACGACTGCTTTAACCACTCAGCCAGAGCCGCCCCACTGATGCGACAAATAGTTCTCACCTGTTGTCACTTCTGGTTTCCATGGCAACGGGGTTAGGAGATGACCTGTGGCCTGGGATAGGGATGAGATTGGGTCTTTCTGCTGGGTAGTCAGGCTGAACGCGAGATGAAGAATGGGCGATAGGCTGCGGGACCACTTTAGCTGTGAAGGACATCATGCAGGAGCAACAAACGTTTTCATGGGACGATCAGAATCAAAAGCCAATCTGGAAACGTGAGATTTAAAGTTCTGACTCACCAACAGGGATAGTGGAGGTGGTCACAGCTGTAGCATGGGACGAGTGTGACGCCATTGTCATGGTGACAATAGTGCTACTGCTCATTTGGGTATGAGGCACAGTACCTAAACATTAATTTAAAAATACAAATCAATGAAAAAAGCCCACATACATTATATTATTAAGGGCTGAGATTATAAATACAGGAGATAACTAAAGTAAACAAAAAGCTTTTACCGATTGTAGTTGTTGATGGCACAGTGTTGGTGGCAACAATTGGTGCCACAGTTGCAGCAGGAGTCACAGTACTAAACATGGGTTTCTGTTCGGAACAAGATTGTTTTCATTACTGAGAAAAAAATATACTAAAAAAATACATACTATGCATTTTCACATAAAGAAACAATAACCTGTGCCATGGTGTGTGGAGGCTGGGCTTTTTGAGTCCCAATGGCAGGGTGCGATGGCAAAGTGATCCGTGTGGCAGTGTCACGGGCCGTCTGAGGCCTCTGAATACTGACAGCAGCAGGAGGGGGGTGAATGGTCAGAGCTGTACGCCTGAAAACAATGAAATACTCAAATCACTGACGAATCACTGCATGCACTGAAAACATTAAGATCTAAAAATGTGTTGCTTCAGACCAAATACATACAGTATAATGTGGTGCTTGAAAGTTTAAGATGATAAATCATAAATCATACATTATAGATGATAAATTTGACCTAAAACATCATCAGATTTTCACACAAGTCCTAAAAGTAGATAAAGAGAAAGTTAAACAAATGAGACAAAATATTATACTTGGTATTTTATTTATTTAGGAAAATAATCCAATATTACATATTTGTGATGGTAAAAGTATGTGAACCTTTTCTTTCATTATCTGGTGAGACACGACATCACACACACACACACTTCCAGCAATAACTACAACTAATCATTTCTGGTAAATGTTGATCAGTCCTGATCACCTTGGAGGAACTTTAGTCCATTCTAGGGCTGCAACTAACGATCATTTCAATAATCGATTCATCAGCCAATTATTTTTTTGATTAATCGATGAATCGGCAAAAAAAAACTAAAAACATTTTCATTTCCACCCATTTATTCCAAAATTGAACATTTGCCTGACATAGCAATTCACACAAAAAACAGGTTGCTATTTGACAATTCTGTTAGTAAAATATTGAATAATAAAAAATAAAAGTTAGTCAAATAGCTTAAAAAAATAAATGTACACAAAAATATATACAAATGTTTCTTTATACCTGCACAATTTGTAGCTACTTTGTAAAATGTGTCATTGAGGGAAGAGTGTAACCTGGATTAAAAGTGTGGATTATTGTAACCTGGATTAAAAGTGTGGATTATTGTAACCTGGATTAAAAGTGTGCATCATTGTAGTGAAGCCTTCGTCTTCAACCATCGAGAGGCCTCGTGAGTGACGATCATTTAAGGATATTATCAGTGAGGACAGCTGCTGCTGTGGTGTCCATGATGTCTGTTCATCATGAAGGCTGTTGTTGTTTGTTGTTGTTGTTGTTTTCTGGAATGAGAGAGTAAATATGTTTTATAGCATAATTTACAGCAACTCAAGAAATGCCTTGTTTCACTTACAGAGTTAGGTTCAGGCAAAAGTAGCTAAAAGAGCAATTAAACACACACACACACACACACACACACACACACAGATATAAAATACTTAATTACACACATTTGAGTAGATGTAATAAATTACTTTAATTCCTGTTTAAATGCAATTTATCCTGCCATACCTGCAGTGTCTTCAGACTTTGCCAGCAAATTTAAAGTTGAAGCTTAATCACTAAATTATTATCTTTGTGTTAGATTTATTTATAAATCACATTTAAACACTGCTTGTACCAATTAAATTAAATAAAAAGTAACACACGTTCTCTATCACCGTCATTAATCAGATAAACAAACAAACAAGCAGCAGCTTCATCTTCAGACAGACTGACGTTACGTTTTCTCTCTTGAAACAGAACAAAGTGTTAAATTGTAGAGACTCACCTGCAACACGAGTTGGGAGTGAGACATGTATCAGCTGCAGCTCCTTCCTCCTCCTTGTGACTCCGACATGTTTACGTTTATCTCCGTGGTTCTCACGTGTCGTGTCGGTGATTTTCAAAGCTGCATGTTTCTCATTTTTTATCTTTGTGAAGAGCTCCCACACTTTGGAGGACTTGGGTCGAACAGTTTTCGCTGCGTTGGTCATTTGTAAAATTGACTTATTTTCCTTTGAAAACAGCCTCTGCTTTGTTTCCACCTCCCCCCTGCTCTGTTTAACTTGCGCTGCAGTTTTTTTTTTTTCCAAACTTTATTCAGTCAGTCAGCATTGACAATGAACTGCCCGTGAACAAAACGGCTCCGCAGCGCCGTGAAAGACGCATAATCGCGCGACACAACGAATCGATAATGAAATTCATTGCCAATGCTTTTAATCATCCATTTTTATCGATTTGTTGTTGCAGCCCTAGTTGCCAGGTGTACGGTAATTATCGTATTTGTACGACAATTTTGCCCTCTGTACGATCAATAATCCCAAAAAAGGCCAAATATACAATAATTTGACCATTCCGTGAATGTGTGGTTGTAATCGGTTGTCATCAGCCTCTCGCAACTGTCTTGAGTTTTTTTGTGAACCCTGAAGGCATCTGTGTCCGCAAACACGAAAATCCAGCCAATCGTGCTTTTCTAAATGTTACCTACGAGTGACGCGTATGCGTTTGCCTCAGAACAACGGCCATGATTGTCTGAATAGTCTGCTGCGCCCGCCCCATGAGAGAGGAAAAGAAAAGAAGAAGAAGCAGAGCGTCTGGAAGCAGACCCATCACTACTATAGTTCATCAATAGATTTGTTATTTTGGTTATAACGAGTGTACAATAATTTCCCTCAAAATACGATCATTTTATGTCTCTAGTACGATAATCCTACATTTCTCACCTGGCAACACTGGCCAGCTCCCTTTATCTGAATGGAGCCTGCTAGCATGGAGGAGGGGGACAGCGCGATTCAACCCGCTGCTTCGTCTTTAAAAATCATTTCAGATCCTACAATGTTCCGGGGGAAGACAGAGCTTCACAAGAGCACAGTTGTTTACAAGAAGCGTAAAATAAAATCGCGGTACAGTATTTTGGATATAAGACAAAATTCAAGAAAGATGAAAGTGAAACAGCAGACCAGCGAACTCTGCAACAAACTTCAAGTCTTCCCCAAAGGCTGCAAAGATTTCCCTCTCCATCTCCTGCTATATCACAAAGGATTTATGATCAGACAGCTCAGTGGAAGGTGAGGGGTTTGTGTTTATTTTTAAAACGCTGGATTCAATGTACGTTATTCCTTCATGTAGATTTTTTTTTTTTTGTGATAAAGCAGCACCACAACTTCACCATGAAACAACAAATGGGAGAAGCTCTGATGCAGCTGCAGCTCAAAGGTAACTGCTTTTTCTCATATTATACTAAAACTTATAGACAAGTTGTTCAACAAACTTAACGCAATTTGTCTTTTTAACAGGTTGAAGAGGCCAGATGAGACATCTCCTGGAGCCAGTTCTAAATGATACAGTTTATGGTTTATAAATTACAGTTCAGAAGAGGTTTTTGTGCAAACTTGCACAGGTTTTGAAATTTTGTTAAAGATTTACTAAATATGAATCAATATGATTAAGACTGTGAAGTCCGTATATTTCATATTAGGTTAAGTTTTGAAAATATAGCAAATGTTAGAGCAACATGGCTAAAAATAACTGTGAAGTCTGTATTTTACTTTGAGCTAAAGGTTAATGTACTATGTATGGTAGGCTGAAATCTGATTACTTTTGTATTTATATATTTTGAATTATTTATCTGTGATGGACTGGAGACCTGTTGTCCCCCACCTCTCACACAGCGATGGCTGATATGGGCACCAGTGACCCCCGTGGCTAAAAAAGGAAGAAGTGGATAAAGATGATGGATGGATGAATTATTTGTTCGTAGATTTAGATTTTTTAATTTTTTTTTAAGAAAAATTCAGGCAACTAAGCTAACCTAATACTGGTAATTTAAGTTACAGAATTTTATGCACTCCTATATTTTTTCCTATTTTTGGTATAAATATAAAATGAATAAAAAATATTTGATACAGTAAGGAACCTAAAATGATTTTTAAATAAATGGTCTATTGGTTGAGAGGTTCCGGCTAGAAATAGTCGGACTCACCTCTACGCATGGCTCTGGAACCAGTTTCCTTGAGAGGGGTTGGACACTCTTCCACTCTGGAGTTGCCCCTGGTGAGAGATGCCGAGCAGGAGTGGGCATACTTATTGCCCCCCATCTTGGTGCCTGTGTGTTGGGGTTTACCCCGGTGAATGAGAGGGTAGCCTCCCTCCGCCTACGTGTGGGGGGACGGGTTCTGACTGTCGTTAGAGCTTATGCACCAAACGGCAGCTCAGATTATCCACCCTTTTTGGAGTCCTTGGAGGGGGTACTGGAAAGTGCACCTCCTGGGGACTCCCTTGTTCTGCTGGGGGACTTCAATGCTCACGTGGGCAATGACAGTGAGATCTGGAGGGGTGTGGTTGGGAGGAACGGTCCCCCTGATCTGAACCCGAGTGGTGTTCTGTTTTTGGACTTCTGTGCTCGTCATGGATTGTCCATAACAAACACCATGTTCAAGCATAAGGGTGTCCATATGTGCTCTTGGCACCAGGACACCTTAGGCCGCAGTTCGATGATCGACTTTGTTGTCGTCTCGTCTGATCTGCGGCCACATGTCTTGGACACTCTGGTGAAGACAGGGGCGGAGCCGTCCACTGACCACTACCTGGTGGTGAGTTGGCTCCGATGGTGGGGGAGGATGCCGGTCAGACCTGGCAGGCCCACATGGATTGCGAGGGTTTGCTGGGAACATCTGGCAGAGTCTCCTGTGAGACGGAGCTTTAACTCCCATCTCCAGGAGAACGTTGAACATGTTCCGGGGGAGGTAGGGGACATTGAGTCCGAGTGGGCCATGTTCAGTGCCTCTATTGTTGAGGCTTCTTACCAGAGCTGCGGCTGCAAAGTTGTCGGTGCCTGTCGCTGCGGCAACCCTCGAACCCAGTGGTGGGCACAGTCAGTGAGGGATGCTGTCAGGCTAAAGAAGGAGTCTAATAGGGCATTTTTGGCCTGTGGGACCCCGGAAGCAGCTGATGGGTACCGGCAGTCCAAGCAACATGCGACTCGGGTGGTGGCTGAGGCAAAAACTTGCGCATGGGAGGAGTTTGGAGAGGCCATGGAGAATGATTTTCGCACGGCTTCGAGGAGATTCTGGTCCACCATCCGGCGTCTCAGGCGAGAAACGCAGTACACCACCAACACTGTTTATATTGGGGGTGGTGTGCTGCTGACCTCAACTCGGGATGTCGTGGGTCGGTGGGCGGAATACTTTGAAGACCTCCTCAATCCCACTGGCACATCTTTCACTGAGGAAGCGGAGCCTGGGGACTTTGGGTCGGGCCCTCCAATCTCTGGTGCTGAGGTCACCGAGGTGGTTAAAAAGCTCCTTGGTGGC